TAAGTGTGAGGTTTTTAAAGGATGCAGTGTTAGCAATGAAGAAGTTCATAGAGAAAAAGTAAAGAATTATCATTATTATAAGATTTCTACTCTAAAATGCATTTCCTCATTTTTAAGCAACTAAAGTAATAAATTTTCAAAATTATGTAAACCAACTAGTTTGCAGATAAAAAGTTATACTTTTATCCAACATTTAGGATTCAACGTGTTGGACAAGGTGACAAACAAAAATACCTGGGTCAGAGAGATATTTGTCAACTTTCAACTAGAAGTGCTTTTTACTGGAAGCCCACCCAAAGGACAGCATCACCAAAAGATGTAGGTACTCACACCCTGTGTGCCAGGTCGGGGATTACTCCACCAAAGCAGCTGGGGAGAATGGGGGCACTGGCTGGAAAATCCAGGACTGACAAAAGCACTGGTAGACTAATCCCTGAGCTCCCACAGGTCAAGAGCTACTTTCATCAAGATGATATGACTCTCTTACCAAAATCAACAAAAACTATGAACCAGAGACACTTTTTGGGGGGTGGGGGCTGGGAGGGGAGGGATTGGGGTCAGAATGGGGGGGTTTGCAATTGTATGGGGGAATATAAAAATAAAATTTATTATTTAAAAAAAAAAAAAAAAAGATGATATGACTCTCAACCAAGTCTGAGATTTGCCCTTTGGTTGGTATTTGACCACTGGCTTTCCCCCTAGTTCTCTGTTTAACCTGAACTTGCAATTCACTGGCAGCTTCTCCTTTCTGATAGTAGAGCCCCCTGCAATTCCTCTTATAGACTTGTGTCCAGTCAGCTGTTGCCTATGTCAGTGCTGTTTCACTCTATCTAGCCAGAAAAGTACTTCACCTAAAAACACCGGTTAAAATGTTATTCATTTTGCAAAAATGAAATGACTACTTGTCTTCCTTAGAAGGTCATTAAAGAAATGGTTTCTCAGTCCTTCATGATTCTTTATTCTGTGAATCTTTATGGACCAACTATTACGCTTTGTCTTCTAGTTTTATTTGTACAATTTTTCCTGCCCTAAATGGAAGATAAAAGGGGGGGAAAAGAAACACAGATTGCTTACCTTTGTATTCCTTCATAAATTCTTAAGCATTTTATATACTCAATTTGCTGAGTTAACCTCACGAGTTCAGTTTCTAGGCTCACACTACCATACAATGCCTCTCCATGGTTCAAAACTTATTTTATTTTTTTTAAAAAAGAGAAGTTTAGCTTAGTAAGAAATAAAGCACTAAAATATCCTGTCAGGGCCTTCCTGGTGGCTCAGCAGTTGAGCGCTGGGTTGCGAAGCTGCCTGCAGCCTCTGCGGTGCCAGTTCGATCCCCGCGGCCTCTGCAGTGCCGGTTCGATCCCCGGCTGCTCCCCGGCCACCAGAGGAGGGTCCCACATGACGCACAGACCTCTCCAGCCGCCCGCTGCTCCCCTCAGCAGTGTACTTCGGTCCTTCTGCCTGCTCTGCTCCCCGCTCTGGCTCTGGTGAATTCTCTCACCCTCCCGTGCTTCTGACTGTACCCAGTGCATGTATAAACCAAACAAACAAATAAATAAAACATGCCTCTTTAAAAATAAAATAAAATAAAATATCCTGTCAATTAAAATATGAATTCCTCTAGATACATCACAGTTTTTGCAAGTATGCTCAGTGCATTAAGCTGCAGACACAAACACCTTTAGAAATCAGCAAATTAAGAGAGTCAAAACGGTTCCCTGTTGCGGGTATTCTTGGGTATTTCAACATTTGCATCTCCTAGAAAGGGCACAGCACACTCAACCATGTTCTCTTTTCTTTAAAGCAACTTTCAAGATTACTCCTCTGAGACAAATATTTAGGAATTACCAGAATAAATTATATCCAGTCTTTCATGTTTGCATTTACATCTACACGTTTGCTGAGAAGCCTGAGCTTTTTTCATTTCAGTTAGGAAACAAGGAAGAAGGGAGAGAGCTTGTTTTTGTTTTTGTTTTTTAATCCTCAAATGCCAGTGAGTTTTTTAAAACAAGTGCAATTTATTAACTTTGTCAGTTTGACCTTGTTAGAAACTCTGATGACAGACTAAAATTCAACATTTTGACAAGTTACTTTTAAGCCAACAGTCTCAGTCTATTTTCTTATTAAATCACTTGAATATTTAAATAATCTTTCATACCGTCAGCTCAACAGGAAGTGTGTCAGCATTTATGTAGCTGCATGATGTTATATAATTATTTTCATTCTAAATATGAATTTTTCACACTAAATATATTTTCACATAATGTGCATTAATTCAGAACTGGCATTTATATTCCAAAAGCAAATAGACAATCAATTGAAGTAAATTCAGATTATGAATTTATTTTATTTAATATCATTATGACTGACAACCATTTCATTTCAAACACTATTCAGAAGAGGATAACTGAGTGTATATATTTGTTTTAAAGAGAGAATAGTGAAAGTCCATAGTCTATTCATTTATAAAGCACTATGAATGGATAAAAGACATTCAGCTACTGTGGTGGTTATAGTTGCTTTTATTATAAGATTCTCTAAACCTTTTTTAGATACTAGTGGTCTTAGAAAAATTGAAAAAAAAATAATGTCTAATGCTAGGTTTTCACTTATTCATTCAACAACAAATATTAAGTACATCTTCCACATGCCAGGCAATGTTAGCCAATGCAGACTACTGTCTCCAGAACAGAATATGAAATAAATAAATCATTTAGTGTATGACCCCGTCAGAGAAAAATAAGGTAATTAAGGGGGAGATGGGCAAGAGGAGTAGTGATAATTGGTGCTCTGGCCTCAATGCAAATTAGACATTACAGTAAGAACTGGAGGGTGGTAAAGTACAAGACATGTTGTTGCTCTGCATGGAAAGAACATTTCAGGCAGAAAGGAAAGCACAAAGGTCCCCAAAGAGGGCTCCTGTTTTTTATTACTTCCATATATAATAGAATAATAGAAAGCAGTTTCCCTATGATCCCTATGATCTATTAACTCATAATTTTCTATTTTGAGCCCAGGGGAGATGTAATATCTAATACAAGACGTTAGCCAATCATCTCATCTATTTTAGGCCTCTTTGGCCCACAGGAAAAATTTAAGCCACTATCTATTCTTATGTTTTCTTGGAGTGCAAACCATTCCTTGAATTACATAGAATCTATGGCTGTTTTCATGCTACAACTACTGTTACTGATCTTCAATAGAGATCCTATGGCTGTAAAGATTAAAATATTATCTTACATTTTACAGAAAAAGTTTGCTCCTCTAGAGATTCACGAAGACATCTAAATCTGTATTACCTCCATCAAAGAGACATGTGACCGTGAGTTAAATTTTTTACCTTTGTATAAGGAATGGGTAGGCATCCCTTTGTCTAATTACTGGGCATCTTAATAGTCAACAGCCTAAAAGCATGATTAGGAAAAGGAAAAGTGTGGAATCAACTTTTGGCCTAATAAAGGCATGCTTCTTTGGCCAATTATTTTTCTTCCAAGTATCTCTATGCATCCTGGTATTCAGGAGGAAATGTATAAACCAGAAACTCAATTATTTCCCTTAAAATAGAAAATAGAAATCCAGAAATCTTATTTGGAACTTAGACAAGTTCAGAATAGAAAGAATGAAAAATCAGAGCTCTGAGAAAGACAGAGGAGAAATGTCACTGTCCCAGAGGTGGTCAGCCATGGTGAATGTGTCAGAAGCATCAACGCACCAACCCTGGAAAGAGTGAGGTACCACTGGAGATGAGACAGGAAACCCCAGCTGCTGGGGCTTCTGCACCCAGAGTCTGCTAACACTTCTAGTAATATTTTGAAAGAGAACTAGGACCTCTCTAAACGAAGTTTACAGAGATGAACGACCTGAGAATATTCAAGCTCACTGTTTCATCTAGCACTTGTGTAAATCTGAGGGCTGCAATATACCTTTACATTTACCAATAAAACTGATGACTGATGAAAAGCAGAAGCAGCTTGCAACTTTGCCATAATATGGCCAGAAAGAAGGAAGATAAAATAAGTGATACTAGGAAGTATTCAGCTTTGGTTTAGTCAACTCTTAATATTCTAAAAGGATGCTACCTTGTAATAAGTATCAACCATATAATTGGTACCATAAAATTGTTTTTGCTTACTTAAGTAATGTAATTCCTACTCCCACTAGTCCCACTAGTGATGCTTCGGATATTTTTTTTTTCCTTTTGCTTAGTAAGCTTCATGTGAGGTCAAACTAAGGTTTTGTGAAAATGATGTACATTTTAGGGGAATAGTAGAGAAAATCAGTATATAACAACCATTTAAATGAGAGTTTTCACCTGAAAATAATTTGCTACTTCATGAGAAACATTTCAATTAAATATTTCAAAAAGACAACCCAAAATCAGGATACTAGAAAGTATTCCACCCCAAAGGTGTCTCAATCCTGTGAAATGCTTAAAGGACAGGAAGTTTCTCTGTAAATACTTGAAATGATAAATCTGTTTTAAATGTGTAATATTCAACTGACACTGACACTTTGTGCAGCATATAGAAATCAAAACATAATAGTGAAGGCCAAACTCTAACAATGATGTACTTTCTACTAACTACAACAAGCTTTGTATTCCCAAAAAGAACACTGCCACGATATGAGCACAAGTCTAACAGTGGGATGAGTAACAGGAACTCAGTCTGTGTTGCTTTCCTTTGCTACAAATTGGGACACATGGTAGTGAATTTGGGAGCAATGTTAGAAATTAAATATTAAGAATCTAGACGTGAAATCAAAATTTTCAGTTTTAATTTGGTATTCAAATAAACCTGCCATATGTAACACCTTGCACATATCCCTCCTTATGACTAACAAGTAACATTTGCAGAAGCATACAGAAAGACTCTAAAGACTGCATCTGTATGCATGTGTGGTTGGGGGAGAAGACTAAGCAACAATGCAGCAGGCTTAGAAATGGATAAAGTTGAATTTTTAAAAATAACTACTTATGAAAAAAATGAATACATACATACCCTTGAGGGGAGAGTTTGTCTAGCCATCCCGATTTAACCTTCTTTACAGATGATCCATAAAAACAGGCATAGGGAGATATCACATTTGAGGAAACTGATGAATCAGCATTTCCACTTGTTGAGCTTAATGGATAACTGTGCCTATTAACAGGGTCCAAATTCAATGCTTTTTGAGTCCTAGATTTGGATGCCTTTGAATTTTTTCTTCTTAAACTCTGAAAGCATTCTTCCACTGTTGAATATTCTGATTCTGAAGCAGAATCAACAGGGATATTGCTTTTGTCCTCTCGAGGTATCCAAATATCTTCCACTTTGTCTTCACTTATTTTCTCCTTCCTGTTATCATATATGCTAAATGGAAAAGACTGAGGTTATTTCAAAATACTATATGTGATTTAAGTCAATGTTTTTTTTTTCCTAATTGATAAACAAGCATTCACAAAAATTTAAGAGGAAAAAATGAAATTTAAGTTGATATCTTACAAACTAACACCTCTGAAAAATTTTAAAACTCTTCCAGGATAACTCAATACATCTCTTGCTATCCAATGACACATTTGAACATTACTGGAGGTAGCATGCTTTTTCTTATATGTAATTTAATAATATCTTTTTATTTTGGGGTAAATATGTGCAGGTGGTAAGGACAGAGAATGACTTACTCTTTGCAGCACAATTTAAACATGTTCAACAGCATCATTACATAAGAAGCCCAACCTCCAGTTTCTGGGCAATATCATAAACCTCAAACCCGCCTATTTGGAGATCTCACTTCCCCTGGTTGCCCCTTCACTTGATCACCTCTAATTGACTTCTAATGTAATAAAGCAGGGAGTTTGGTGATAGTTTTAGTGTTATGTTGCAATGCTAATGAAGAAAAAACTGTACCAAACTGTTAAATAGAAAATAAAAGATAAAAGCTGATAAAAGTTGTAAGCTATAACTAATTTTTACTTGGGGATATATTCACAGTAATGGAAGCATATTCCTATACATTTGAGGAATGGCAAAATGCATTCATTTGGCCATTTGCGTTTAATAAACTCATTACAAAGAAGTTTTTGTTAATCAATGAAACAGATATGCCTAAGAGTCATATTACGTCCTTCTGAATATAGTATTCTAAAAATCATTTCTTCTTTGAATGATGATTTAGCCTGGTCTCTTCCACATTTTACATCATAATAGGTGTTTAACAAGTGCTTACTGGAGATACTCAATTATTTAGAGTCAACTTAAGGAAACCCACAAGATTATCTACCTTGGAAAAATGATGAATAACCAGAAAATGAACCTTAACAATCTAGTATACCAAGTCTTAATAAATCTGAGAAAAAAGTAAAGTTGATACCTTATAACTATTATCTGTATGATCTAAATACTAGATAACTGTCATTTGTAAATGCTGAGCTCCTAATGAAAAGGATACATTTGCAAAAATTCTTCACCTCACCTGGTGACATTTTACACTGTCCCTTTCTCCTTAATAATATAATTTATCTTTTAAGTAAAATCATAATCACCACATATTTGCCACTTTGGAGCAAGGAAAGTAGTTTCAATTAGGAAAAGACAAAAATAATCTGCTACAGAGTGTCACTATATACCAGATTACAAATTCTAAACTCAGATATTAAAATGAGCACCTTTATCAAAACAGTTAGAATAAAAGATTTGAAGTTACTTATGTAAACCATTTCCTTAGAAACAAGAGCAAGAAGTCAATACTGTATAACATTCCATTCAAAAGCATAATCATCATTCAAGACCTCATACCTTGATTTTATCAAAAAAGAGTTCCTCTCAGCAGTTGCATCCTGTTTCAGAGTTTCTTCGTGGGCCCAAAATTCATTTCTTATACATTTCTTCTGTTAAAAGAAAAAAAACATTTGTTTGTGTGTAGCAATATTCTACAAAGAGTCATAATATCTTGGTTTAGCTTTATTAAACAAATGTCTAATTGCTTAATTTTCAATAAAACATTTAATTAGGAGACTATATTAAACAGAAGCCCTTAAGTATTTTATTTAAATCTGTAATAATTCATCAAATCAATTAAGATGCTAACCACAAGCAAAATTCATTTACTCTTACATTCCTACTTTCTAAATTTCAACTTCTCTTTTATCAAGACCAAAAATTAAAATGGCAAAAGAGCAGAAATACTAGAAAGGCTGAGTGATAAACCAAATAATTAGGATATATAAATAATTTGACATTTGGGTATGAGAAAAAATAAAATACATGGAGTTTGGGGGGGTTTAGTGGTTTATTCTTATTATTCTTCTTTAAAGTAATTGTACCTTGTGGCATATTATAAAAACCCACTCTCCTATATTCCAGTATCAAGCTGAAAATGTTTTTATGATGTATGTTTAAAGATCTAAATTTACCATGATTTTACTGAATAGACATACTGACCGCAAATTTCATTTTCAATGTAATCCATTCTTTAAACAGCTTCAGGAAAATGAAGACAGATATCAGAAGGAGAACAAAGAATTAAATATGGAAAAATTAAAATGCTATGAGACTAACCTTGGAATTTTCTAGCTTCTGGAAGAGAAATGTCTCTCCATAAGGAAAGATGGAAGATGAATTCTCCTCATTTGGATCTTTGGGGAGTAGGGGAGTTATAGGATGAGAATGGAAAGATGTGAATAATGTAAAACAGTGCAAAAAATTCCTAAAGCATGTGTTTATTTTATAGCAACATCACAACTTAAGCTCTATTTACTGTCCTTAAAATTATGCTCATAATTCTTACCCCCAAATCAACTCTCCGCAATCTTCACTATGTCTATATCTCTTACTTCACAGCCATGACATATTACTATTTCTTAAAGCATGGCATCACATACATATGTTCTTGCTGAGCTCTAAGGTCCACAAGCACATTTCCCACATACAGTGGAAATTATGATGGTCCCATATTAGTTCCTAAATAATGGAGAGCACAGATGGCAGAAAATTAATCTAAATTCTATTCTAATTCTCAATAAACAAATATTAGAAGCACACTAACACAACAACTAGAAGTGATATCACTCAAAATTCCAGAAACCACGTATCTTCCTAACACCAGTGTCTAACATACCTGTAAACTGCTTCAAAAGAATTTCTATCATCCTTGATTTAAACTGATCTACAGAAAGAATTCTCACTATTTGCATTTTCTGGTATGGTAAAAAAATGTTTAAAAGCTCAGTAGCCAAGTGTATGCCATCTTACTATCAAAAAGAATGTTCCTGAACTTCTCTAAGCAGAATTTTTGAAAAGAAAGAAAAGATTATCAATGATGCATTTACCAGAGTAACAAAGTCAGCCTTTTCCCGCTACCATGGCAAACTTACTTCCCATAAATCTATGTCCTGTAGCTCTGACTGTCAGAAACCACTTGATTTCACTAACTGCCTTCAACTATGGCTAATGAAGCCAAAATCTTTATACATTAGCATGTGCAAATTTCCAGGCACGTAAGTGCCTTTTATTCATTCACCATTAAAAGCATCTGAAGTACTATGAAGACTGACATACAGTTCTAGTCCCATTATTCCCTATTCTGCAGGTGGACTACCTTCTTGATTATGACTTTAACACATTGTCAAATGAGTGCTAACTAATTTACAGGATTTTAAAGGCCGATACTCACTTCGCTGGGTCAGAGATTTGCCAGTTGAGGTAGCACCAGGTCTTCTCTCACGGAAATAACTTAAAACAAAAGGAAAAATAGATAAGTTAAAACATGTTATTCTGAGTGAAAGATTAACATAGAGACATATTATTTGGGATAGAAACAACAATATTCAAAAATCAGTTGGATATGTAAATAAAGAGAATAGCCAAATTCCACAAGAATGTTTTTCCAGATAATTTTAAAAGAAATGTTCTCATTGGATTTTATAAGTGCTTGTTTCTCACATTTAAAATTCACAAAAGTAAATAGACATATGTGCCCAATTGTGTTCACATGAATACAAATGATAGTTTGCACATAAAGTAAGTTTAAAACTGCTAGCCATAATGTTACGAGAAACATATTTTCTACCTAGATCTCAGTACTTATGGAGGTTTTTTGCTATTAGTTTTAAAATACTGAGTTAAAATTTTGTCTGACTCTATGAACATAATATGAAAATACACAAGATTTTTTCTCAAAGATCTTAATGTCCTGGGAGAGAGAGAGGAATTACAGGCAATTGTTTAGAATGCAAAATAACAGCAATCACAGAGGAAACCACTGCAGAAATAGGGTAGTGAGTTCTTATTACTACATGGCAGAAGACTGCCATCCACTTTGCCATAAGCATCAGGACAGTGTCCTTAACTTCCCTTAGATCTACCCCTACCCAAGTAGCCATAAGCTAGGAATTAAAAAAGAAGAGAAATCATTGCAACAGAATATAAACAAACTTTTTAAATCATTATAATTAAATGCCAGTTCTTTGAAAGATCAATAAAAAAGACAAACCACAGAGAAGGAAAATAAGAGAGAAAACACAAATTACCAATCTAAGGGATAAACAAACAATAAACAAAACAATAAAGGGATAGTTACAGATTAACAAAATCTTTATGGCAACAAATTTAACAACCTAGAAAAAATGAAAAATTCCTTGAGGCAAAAATTATCAATATGACAAGAATAAATAAAAAAATCTTAATATCCCCATTCCTCTTTGAGAAATTGAATTCACTGATTACTAACCACAAAATTTCAGGTCCACATATTTCACAGGTTAATTCCATGAATATTTTAAGGAAAAAAATTACAGCAATTCTACAGAAATTATTTTAGAAAAGAGGAGAGACTATGTCCCATTTCATGCGATCAGTCTAGCATCACTGATACCAAATACGATAAAAAAAAAAAGGCCAGGACATGAATAATGTTTTCAAAAAACATTAACAAATGTTAGGAAATCAAGTGTAAAAATGTATCAAAAGTACAAAGTATCATGACAAAATGAGATTCACCCCAGAAAAGTAAAGTTGTCTTAAAAGAGAAAATTCTCCACATCTTGGAATAGAGTCAGCATATCCCAAAAAAGATTCCACTGGACTTGGCTTATAGAAATTAACACGGTGACTCTAAAATTTACATATAAATACAAATAACCTAGAATAATCACAATTAATTTTTAAAAGAGCAAAATTGGAAAAGTTATACTACACTATTGCAATACTGTCTAAAGCTACAGCAATCAATCAGGACAGTACTGGCAAAAAAAAAAAATCAATCAACAGAACAGAACCAAAAGTTCACATATACTCCCACTTGTATCTTCCACTGACTTTTGAAAAAGATGTCAAAGGAGGTCAATAGGGAAAGGAAAGTCTCTTTAGCAGGTGTTGCTAAAACAACTGGATCTCAATGGAAAAAAAAGGAGTAAATATAAACCATTATTTCATACCATGCACAAAAATTAACTTAAAATGGTATTCAGATCAAAATAACAATGCTAACACTATTAAACTTCTAGAAAACACTGCAAATCATCACAATAGCCTTTGAGTAAGCAAAGATTTGAATAGATACAAAATGAAAAACCCAAAAAGAAAATGAGAAGCTGAACTTTTAAAAAAATTTAAAACCTATGTCACATATTCTGTGACATAACATATCCAAACACATATCCCCCCCAAAAAAATACCCAAAACATAGTCCTTAAAATCCCTTAATTAAAACTCAACAATAGATAAAAATTTGAAGAGTCTTCATAAATGAAGATATATAAACATGGTATCAACCACATAATCATCGGAATTGCTAAAGTTAGGGTGGGTGACACTAAATGCTACAGAGTATGTACAATCATTAGAACATTTAAATATCTGCAGGAATGGAAAAGGATAAATTCACTATTTAAAACTGCTTGGCAGTTTCTGATAGTTAAATACTGACCTAACATATAAATCCCAGCTATTTAATCTTAAAAACACAAAAAAATTAAAAACATACATTTATAGAAAGACGTTTTGTGGTGTTTCTTAATAGGAGTTTTATTCTCAATAACCAAAACCATAAACAAAATGCATGTCAACAGGTGAAAGATAAACAAATGGCAGTATAAGGATGCAAGGGAATACTACTTGGTTTAAAAAAAAAAAGCTATTAAAAAAACTAACGTTAGGGCCTCCCCGGTGGCGCAGCGGTTGAGCGCTGGGTTGCGAAGCTGCCAGCAGCCTCTGCAGCGCCGGTTCGATTCCCGGCTGCTCCCAGGCCACCGGAGGAGGTTCCCACATGGCGCGCAGACCTCTCCTGCCGCCCGCTGCTCCCCTCAGCAGTGTACTTCGGTCCTTCTGCCTGCTCTGCTCCCAGCTCTGGCTCTGGTGAATTCTCTCACCCTCCCGCGCTTCTGACTGTACCCAGTGCATGTATAAACAAACAAATAAATAAATGAACATGCCTCTATAAAAATAAATAAATAAAACAAAAGGGTGCATTCTCCACTTCAAAAAAAAAAAAAAAAACTAACGTTAAACATAATATGAATTGAATGTTTACCAAAACGATCTTGCTGAAAGAACACAGCCAAGCACAAAGAGGTGTATCCTGCCATATGGTTCTTTTAGGAGTGAGAAAAAGAGATGGAGTATGAAAGAACACTAAGAGCTGTAAGGGGATGAAGAAACTTCTCTGCTTCTTGATTGTGGTTATAATTTTATGGGTTACACATCTTTTGAAATTCATCAAATTATATGGGAAGAGTTCACAATAGAAATACATGAAAAATTTCTTTAAAAGGAGTTGTCTTTATGGGGCCTGCATGGTGGCACAAGAGGTTTAGACACAATCTATGAAGCTGTCCACAGCCACTGCAGTAAGAGTTCAATCCCCGGGCAGGGAGCTACCCACATGGCGTAACAGACCTCTCCTGACTCACCTGCCGCTCCCCCTCAGCAGTGTATTTTAGTCAATCTGCCTGTCCTGTTCCCCATGCTGCCTATGGTGAATCCTCTCACCCACTCACCCACCCCTGCACCTCTGGCCTATACCCCAGTTCTTGTATGCATAAATAAATAAATCTTTAAAAAAAAAAAAAGGAGTTGGCTTCATGAACTGCTTATTCTACTTCACTGGTCTACTATGTCTTTGGTTGATATGTAAAATATGGACTATACTCTTAAATATCAGAAAATGAAATACTAAATATATCACTATATATGATGGGCAAAAATATCAAAACCCAATATTAAATCTAACAAAAGATTTGCAAGGAACCAACTAAAAAAATAGAAAAATAGTGACTTATAGAAAATGTAATTAATGAAGGAATTTATGGAAGACTGAAAATTACAAAGAGGTCAGCCCTTCATATATATAATGTATAAAAATGATACTTTACTCCTACTTCAGACTACATATATAAAAAACAATTCAAAGTGGATTATAAAGCACAGAAGAACTGGTCAGATAATAAAACTAGATGATAAAACAGAATATCTTCATGTGTCTTATTATATAAAAGGCTTTAAACTAAAAGAAACTACTGGTAAATTTGACAAAATTAAAATTTGGAAATCATATTCACTAAAAGTATTTAGAAAAAGAAAAAAACTGTATTTGACAAAGGGCTCTTACCTATAATGCATCAACTCATTATGAAAGACAGAAAATAAAACAAAAACAAAAAAAGACTTGAAAAACCATAATCATACTCTATCCTATTCATAAAGTGGTAGATGAGCAAAGCAGAACAAGCAGTTCATAAAGTCATAACAGAAGAACATGTTCAGACTAATAAATGTATTAAGGTACTCAATTTTGCTAATCATCAGTGAATATAAATTAAAATTATAATGAAATACCACCAACCACTCACTAACATAGCTATTTTTTTTTAATAACTGAATGTTGTTGAGGGTGTGAAACAAAAGACTACACAGACAAACACTACATAAGAACCAGCTGGCAGTACCTAGCAAAGTGGAAGATAAGCACGACCTATCACACAGCAACCCCATTCTTAGGAAATCACTCAACATGTATGTACAAGGAGGGGCTCCAAGAAAAGCCACCCAACTGTATGTCAAGGTTCATACACAGGATTGTCAGTCAACAAATACAATAAACTGACTTACAAAAACATGGAGAAACACTGAGCACTCACTGTCTGTCAGACACAGGGCTCAGAATTTTATATATATATATATATATATATATATAAATGTGTATATATTATGCATTTTTGTGTGTCTGTATGTATAGTCACAACCACCCTTAAAAAACTATTAACTGCGCTATTTTTAAAGAAAAATATTGGGACCTCCCTGGTGGCACAGGGGTTAAGTCTCAGCACTATCAGCTATTGCTGGCCACTGCAGCATGAGTTTGATCCTAGGCCAGGAAGCTGACCCACATGGCACAGCAGACCTCCTGTTTCGCCTGCTGCTCCCCTCAGCAGTGTATTTCAGTAAATCTGCCTGTTCAGCTCCCCATTCTGTCTCTGGTGAATCCTCTCACCCACCACACCTCTGGCTTACACCACAGTTCTTGTGGGCACAAATAAATCTTTAAAAAAATAAAGAAAAATATTAGCATACAAAGTAGTTAAATAATCTTTCCACAGTGATAAGTAAACAACATGGGATTCAAACCCAGGCAGCCTAGCTCCATTACCACTACTCTAAATCACAATTCTTAATTAAAAGAATCAATCATGGTTTCTGACAAAATATACAAATTTAAAAAGAATTCTGCCCTACTT